GCATTCTTCTTCTGCTTCAGCTGCTCTTTGTGCTTGCATTCTTTTAGTGGCAGAAGACTTTCCATAGAAAGGGCATTTCTTGTGTGGCATAATCACCTGTATCACTAAACAATAACTTGCAATTCACAAAGTTACTAAATCGCTCATGAAACCACTTAGCACTATTTAAAGAAAACTGTTTTTAGAAATACTGAATTGACAGCAAGGTGATCTAAGTGTCTCCCGCCATAACGCTTTCTACGTGCAAAACGTGCTTATGTTTGCATGCTTATTACAAAAAAAAATGCACAATAATAATTAATTGTCAATTTCGTCATTAAATACTACACCAAATACAAAATAAATTGGACTATTAAATTTCTTGTAAAAACTGGTTATTATGAAGTTATTTTAAAATTTGTAAGTTCAACCGTTTGGTTTCTTATAGAGAACAAAATAAACAAATAAACAAACTTACTCTTTTATACATATAGATTCGTATAATTTTGCATATAAATGTCACTAATGTGTGATAATATCATACTCAAATAATATGTGGTTAACCCAAAATAACAATTCACATTTTTTTGAAACAGTTATTAAAATAGATTTGAATTAACTCAGTTTAATTCCTCACATTTTCTAATGATTAGGTTTCAGATCTGAGAAAATCTCTTAGCGTGGGTATTTTGGTTTTCTATACCACTGAACTTATAAAACATTATCTTTTGTGCCTTACAAACAATATTTGACAACTTTAGATTTTTAACAGTAGAGGAATAATATAAAGAATATTTTTAGGTTTTGAATCGCTCATACTGTAAATAAAATGGTTATTTAAATAAATTTTCTACACTTTTGTTACTTTAACAGTTATCATAACAAATTTTTTCTATTATGATCAAAGTATTTATTGAAATGACGATACGTACAGCTAAATATTTCCCTATGTTTCATGCAGACTTTGAGATATTTAAGTTACTTGAAAAGCAAACACTTATTCCTTTATGTGGCCTATAGACAATTATTTTCCAACTCAACTTACGGTTTAGGTAAATAACTTAACATTGGTGGATACATTAGTAACAACATTATATTTCATTGAGGAACAATGAAGTATTTATTGCATCATCTTTTACATTAAATCAGAACATAGAAACATATCATTTGACAAAATGGTGCATTATGTGCAGATTTCGAATTAACAAAATAAAGTGAATATTCGGTAATGTGTATTTTAATTTGTTTTAATTAAAAAATGTAGTCGTAATAGTGTAAAGTCGTACCATAATTAAGTCAAGAAATTCTATCATGATCATAGATGTCGTAAACTCCTATTTTTTCACATCTTTCTGATGATTATCATGTAATTTTAAAAACTAGAATGCTTTTTCAATATCTAAAATTTTGCCATTCAAACACTGAATTCACACTTCAGTGTCGTAATTACTGTTTGCTTCCTTTTTTTATTGTTGAGAGTAAAGATACGAAACTACAGTTAATAATCTCTACTGACGTGAGTAGTTTTGAAACAGAAATAACCTATGACGTTTGTCATTTTGTATTTGAATACCTTAAACAGCAACTTAATAAGAAAGTCAGTCCATCGGATTCGTCAGTACTTACTCACTTGTTACCATAAAGAGTGAACCAAGTGGTTACCACTAGTCCTAATATATTCAGCATTTCGGAAAGTTAATTATATACTTTAATGTAAGCATTGGCAGATTTTCAAACTTTATGAGGTTTATATTAACATAGTTGATACTGTTATCACTGAGACCTCGCAAACTCTGCTATAAGATCTCAAAAGGACTGTATAATGGAACACTCAAATCCGAAAGCTCAAATAACAAACCTACCAATAAATTATGCATTAACGTGAAGTCTACACCTTTTAACTCGAAAATCATTACAATCTCAGATAAAACAAAAACAAAGTTTGAATGAAAGAGTTTGTATTAGTACCTTTTTATGTTATATTAGGTAGTATAATGGCTAAATTGATAAAATAATATATACATTTTTACTCGGTTTCATCCGACATCGATTTTTGTTTTAATATTTTAACACAGCTCTTGCTATTTTTATGTGATGAAACGAAATATAGAGACTGGGATGGTAAGTGGCTTTGTCAGTTATTTCACGCATTTATTATGTATTTTGTTCTTCTTTTTTTTTTTTTGATAGGTAGTTTCTAGTGTATTATTACACATAACTATTTTCACACAACTGTTATTACTTACGTTATTTCAACGCTCTTCAGGTTGTACGAACAGCAGTAAATCCTAGTACACAAACATTCTGACATTTTGGATAAAGATAGTTTGTGTGCAAGTTCCCGTTCTATATGACAATTAAAAGTGGTTGCTGTAATACCTTGACCATTTACTTTTGCTGCATTGTTTAGTTGTACATACTACAACTGACTTGTGATAGTTGCTTGAAGTACCACAAAAACTTATTCTATTTCTATTTCAGACATGTTGTGGTTTATTACAGTTTTTCTTTTGTATTCCCATTTTTTTAATATATCAGAGTTCAAACATGTATTCATCATAAACTCCTGGTGTTTACACTTAAGTGACAACAAAATTAATACTAATGGTTTAGACAGAGTAATAAATTTAGTGGCATGAATAGCGGAATTATAATTTAAGCAGTAGATGTAAGATTTTGATAAGATAATATCCTTATATTTGTGTACGATTGTATCATATATGAATGTTATCTAAATCAATGGAGGGAGTATATATATATAGATATGCCATAAAACGATTCTAAAGTATGAAACTCAACATTTGTCAAAAGTATGTGTTTGTTTGTTTGAATTTATGCTCAAAGCTACACAATGGGCTATCTGTGCTCTGCCCACCACAGATATCGAAACCCGGTTTCTAGCGTTGTAAGTCCGCAGACATACCGCTGTGCCACTCGGAGGCAAAAGTATGTGTGTGTGTCCGCTTATAACTGGCTACTTGCTGGACTTATTGTCACCCTGATATGTACCTTTATCGCCCCCCCCCCCCAGGAGTTAAATATAAG